AACACAAATAAGCTGCACCTATAATTTTTGGAATTTGATCATAGTTTTTGCTTTATCATGGCTTTTACTGTCAAATAGAACTTCTACCATGCTACCGATCACAGTCTCTGTGTTTTAACCACCCAGAGAATGGTCTGAATGTTGACATCATCAGGTTATAGTTATGCAAAAATACCATTCTAGCTTATCATAAACTATTAACAGCCATGTCTGTCATTGGGCTGAGTGTCTGCCCTTGGTTCAGTCAGCTACAGCTATGTTCTTGTACAAAGCCAGCATAGGAGGGGTGTTATAATGAAAGACATTTTGCAATGTAGTTTTTGCAGTGGAGAACTTGGCATGAATGTGGGGCTTGATTAAGAATGTGGGATTTGTACAAGAATAGGCAGATTAATAGAATAAACTACAAGCCCAAATTATATTTAATAATAAGGTAGAAGTGGCATTTCGGGAGATGGAGAACTAGTAAATAAATGGTGGTTGACTAATTATTTGGAAAATATTATACATTTCCCCCTAAAAAAGTCCATGTAGATTAAACACATCAAGATAAAAATGTAGCCATCAAGTATTAAGATACGATGGCAGAAATTTATTATGTAAAAGAACAAAGAGGCAAAATATATAGCTTAATCCAGTATACACAAGACTTCAAACTAAAAGACACTTTAAAATATGTTAAACAAGGGTTTTTCAGTGATATTTTTGACTTCTAATCAACTTTGCTCCATAACCTTTTTACTGTCTTTACTGGTTCAAATCATTCAAAATATATTTACAACTTTAGAAAAATATACATATAGTGAATGCATTATCAATAAAATATGTGAATAATTAGGGGGATTTATTTAAGTCAAACAGTATTATCATTATCTGTACTTAGTCATATGTCTCCTGTTTGCGCCCTCTACAGAGGAGACTCTTCATTTAGTGCAAATACAGCTAAATTCAGTGCTCCAATTGTTATTATTTTTTATGTGTTGGATCTCTTCCTTCCTTGCCAGCTGAATATGCATTTCTCAGCCAACTCTCTACACCCACTGAAACAGAAAAGACATGCTCTGTAATGCTGTGACATCCTTTTCCACTTAAGCCCTAAATTGTTGACTTCAGCACCACACATGTGATGTTACTAAAATAAGAATGATATTCCTGGTGCTTAGTACTTTGACGGAATGCTGTGGCTGTACTGCATTAATTTAGGAGTCAAAATCACACAAATGAGGATTTTATGTAATCTTGTCAAAAGCTGCAAAAGGAATAAAACCATTTGAAGGCATTGACGTTGTTTAAGTAAAAAGAAATAACATTCTAATGCCAGTGTTTGGTCTTCATGGGAATGAGAACATTGTTACTAACTCCCAACTCACAAAATGGCCATTTCATGTAAGTTTGCATGTAAGTTAGTTGCTTAGGACCAAGAACACATTCATTCAGAGGGAGACTGCCATCTCAGAGAAGCCCCTGCAAGCAAGTATCCTGTAGTTCTCTTCTGAAGTCGAGTCAGCCACCCAGCTTCAGGAGTCAGACACTGCTCATTTGCCATCCCCACCCTGGAAAGCAGGACCTGCCTTATTGAATAAGTCAAGTTATCTCATTGGTTCCCTCGCCTTCCTCTCTGCTTTTTAATTTTCTCCTGGCAACTGCTTTCCTGATGCTCAAATGTTCCATCCTAGGTTACTGCGTCTTACTCTTCAAGGTGCTTCCTGAACACCGCGTACCTACCTTTCTTCCCTAATTGCTCTTCGTCTGTGTAGCTGATCTTAATACTGTCTGTCCTTGGGAGAGGACTTTAAGTATGCCTCCATTTTGATCCTGTATTCTACTCTATTCTCATCTAGTCTATTCTACTGATTATTTGGTTAGCAGCTAGAGACAGCAAATGCAAGGCTCTGATTAGTAATAGGAGACTTGATGTGGTGCTGTAGGATCAGCTCTGGACTGTTAAATACAAGGTTAGTTGTTCAAACCCACCAGCCACTCCTTGGAAATCCTATACAGGGTTGCTATAAGTCAGAATTGACGCAATGGCACTTATGAACAAGAAGTTAGTATAGGTTGGTATGTCAATAACTTCTGCTGTTAGTTAGGTGCTGTAGAGTTGGTTCTAACTGATAGAGATATAATGCACAATAGAACATAACACTGCCCATTCCTGAGCCATTCGCATGATTCATGTTATCTTTGAGCCCATCGTTGCTGCCACTATGTTAGTTAATCTCATTGAGGATCTTCCTCTTTTTTGCTGACCCTCCGTTTGCCAAGAATGATGTCCTCTAGGGCTGATCCGTCATGACAATATGCCCAAAGTACAGGAGACGAAGTGTCACCATCCTTGCTTCTAAGGAGCATTCTGGAAGATTTGTTTATTCTTCTGGCAGCCCGTGGTATTTTATTTTCTTCTCCAACACCATAATTCAAATGCATTCATTTGTCTACAGTCTTCCTTAGTCAGTGTTCATCTTTCACAAGCATATGAGCGATTGAATAGCTTAGGTCAGAGTCACCTTAGTCCTCCAAGTAACATCTTTGCTTTCTAACACATTAAGTAGATCTTTTTCAACAGATTTGCCTAATGCAGTACATCATTTGACTTCTTGATAACTGCTACTTCCATGAGCATTGACTATAAATCTAAGTAAAGTAATGTTTTTAAAATTTTTAATAGTTTCTCCTTTTATGATGATGTTGTTTATTGGTCCAGTTGTGAGGATTTTAATTTTCTGTATATTGAGGTGCAATTCATACTGAAAGCTGTAGTCTTTGATCTTCATCAGTAAATATTTTAAGTCTTCATCAATTCTAGTAAGCAAGGTTGTGTCATCTGCATATCGCAGGTTGTTAATGAATCTTTCTCCAATCCTGGTGCCATGTTCTTCTTCATATAATCCAACTTCTTGGATTATTTGCTCAGCATATAGAATGAATAAGTATGGTGAAAGGATACAACACTCACACACATCTTTCATGATTTTAAACCATTCAGTAACCCCTTGTTCTGTTCTAGCCTCCAAGTGTATGCACAGCTTCCTCATGAGCACAATTAAGTATTCTCTAATTCCCACTCTTGGCAACGTTATCCATAATTTGTTATATGATCCACACAGTGGAAAGCCTTTGCATAGGCAATAAAGCACAAGTAAACATCTTTCTGTTATTCTGTTCTTTCAGCCAAGATCCACCCAAAGTCAGCACTGTTATTTCTCATTCAATGTCCTCTTTTGAATCGAGCTTGAATTTTTGGCAGCTTCCTGTCGATGTACTGCTGCAATCATTTTTAAATTAATTTCAGTAAACTGTTACTTGCATATGATATTAATGATATTGTTTGACTTCTCCAGTTTACGGCTGAATTTCAGAACTGGAAGGTTGATTGTTGTTGTTAAGTGCCACTGAATGGATTCCAACTCATAGCAACTCTGTATAGGGTTTCTGAGGTGCAGCTGATTTAGATGAATCTATAGTGACCCTTTTCTTTTTATAAAGAAGAAAAGATTAATGACTTGTTGAAGTACTTATAATTACTGAAAGGACGAACCCAACGTTTTGGTTTTCTCTCCCACCATTCATAGTAGAGGGGTCCTGGTGTGACGCTGTAGGGTAAACACTCCCTATATGGGGTAGCTATGAGTCTAATTGACTACCGCACTTAACAACAACATTCATGGTAGAAGGAGCCATAGTGGGTCATGAGTTGGTTTGCTAACTGCAAGGTCATCAGTTCAAATCTACCAGCTGCTCCATGGGAGAAAAATGAGACTTTTTGTTCATGTAAAAGATTTACAGCCTCAGTCACTCTATACAGGCTGGCTATAAGTCAGAACAGACTCCATGACACACAATCCCCACCATTTATGGCAGTGATCCAGACAACAATAAAAAAAATAGAATACTAGTTCAAGATTAGTAGTAGTACCCTCTTTCTCCCTCTCTTTATCTATCTTCTATCTATCTATCTATCTATCATCTATTTCATGTTGTCTGGATTAAATAGTCGTGGTATAGCACTATAAAGCACTGGACTGCTAACCATAGGTAAGTAGTTCAAACCCACCAGCTGCTCCTCAGAAACCGTATATTATAAGGTTGCTATGAGTCAGAACTGGCTCGACGGCACTTGATAGCAACAACAGTTCAAGATTCAATAGAAGCTGTATTTAAATAGCGTTTTATATTTGGTGAGGGACCGAGCATGACAGTTGAAGCATAAAAATAACAATAAGACTACACAAATGTTATAGGCACAAGTTCAGATTGATCCTGTATGAAAAGTCTACCAGTTGTGGCCTCATCTGTCCATGAGACTGTCCTATATGGGTTGGTCCAGAGCCAAGTTGAGGATTCTAAGTTTCAACCAGGGATCCAATTACTACTCTAAAGTAAACTCAAATTCTTATTGATTTTAACAAAATCTCTCTCAGGCCCCCTTCAAACTGGGGGTGACCTTAGGGGTGGACATACTCCCCAAGGTTTTTTCTGGACCTGCATGGATTTCTTTTTTCAACTTTTTCTCATTAATTTAAATACCTATGGACTGTAGGCCTGCTGTTGAACCAAGTTGGTTTCATATGGAATCTTAAGTGTACATATTCTTAAAGCATAGTTTGTATCATCCTAATTGAGTCTTATGGAATTCTGAAAAGTTGGTGACTTGAGTATTAACAAGTCATTATCTGGAGTCCTGGTGTTGTGCTGCAGGATAATACATTGGACTGCAAGGTTAATTTAAACAGCAAGGTAGGCAGTTCAAACTCACCAGCCACTCCTTGGAAACCTATACAAGGGAGGTGTGAGTAAAACCAACTCAGTGGCACTTAACAACAATAACTGATGGTCTATATGGTGAACTTGTCAAAAGAGCACACTGGGCTCCATGTTAAACTCTTAAGGTTTTTAGACATTCAATATGTTGCCCATTAAACAGGTCACTTTAAAATTAATTTTGAGAAGAGGCATCCTAAATCATTTGAGATACTAACATTTTTTTTTTGTTTGTTTAGTCTCTGGCTGATGAACTTGCCCTTGTGGATGTTTTAGAAGATAAACTCAAAGGAGAAATGATGGATCTGCAGCATGGGAGTTTATTTCTTCAGACACCTAAAATTGTAGCAGATAAAGGTAGATTCATTTCATGCATAAAGCAATTTGATATTGATTTATTTCATGATTAAAAAAATACAGTTGGTATGCATTCTATAGCATAATAGACTTATTCTTAATTAGCAAAATTGAAAATTTGAAAGTTAACTCAATAACTGTTAACAATACAATGTTCATAATCTGATGTAGCAATTTCTTCAAAGACTGCAAAATTTTCATCTAATTTTAAAACAAATTTTCTCATTTTATGGAAACAATTATTGCTATTTCCCTATTAATTCTGTCTTACTTTTCTAATCTATTAACTTTACATGTTCTTGTAAATAGATAACCATTAAAAATGAATTTGTAAGCCATTGACAAAAAGTCACTAAGAGAAAATAACAAATTCTGATTTATACCGTTGTTTGGTTTATTGCACCATCTTTCTCCTATAGACCGAGTTTCTTTTATTAGTTTATAGAGTCCTACTTTCTTGCAATTTTGTTAAAAATGCAAATATAAAATACTGACATTTTTGTACTGGAAATGTACATAGGATGTGATCATACACACTTCATGTTCCATACTATCACACTAGGTAACTAATTTTTTTTTTCCACTAAAAGTGTGCATACCTTTTTTCTTAAAAAGATTTCTCCCTTTTTTAAATATGCTGCTGTCTATATTCTAAAACTTTTAGCAGGGCATAGGCAGACATTCATAAATTGAATACAACCTACATTTCCATATGCCTCAACATCCTCCTCTCCTCTCTCACTCTCTGATATAAAATTAGTCTTCTTGGCCTAGTGAGTCTTGTATTGACAGGTTATTCATTATTTCTGGGTTTAGTTCATCCTCTAGGATTAACTCAAATATGTTATCTACATAACCCCACCCCACCCCCATCAATTTTCCACAATATTTGGCGTATCATTTTAAGGTATTGTGTCATAATTGGTTATTTACATATATATTACGTATATCTGTGCACAGCAGTGCTTTAGACTTAAAAAAAAAAAGTGTGCAAAGTAATGTGAGAGCCTTGAAGAGGCCTTGACGAAACTAAATAAGTTCATGTTCTAACTTACTTTGATTTGGGCTACCACATTTATGTAGTGGAACTGCCACCACAGCTTGACTATGTGTTGTTGTTTAGTGCCATAGAGTCGGAAACCTGTTTAGGGTTTCCAAGGAGCAGCTGGTGAGTTTGAATCACCAACTTTATGGTTCAAACTGACTTACAGTCTAGTACTTATACTACAATTTCTACATTGTTTAGGCAGAAACCTGACAAAGTATTAGTGACTTTGAAGAGTCACATAGCAACACCATTTCATTCTGTGAATCATCCATAACTATTGAGTCTAATGGGTTACATCCAATCATAAATTGTAATGTCTGTGTCTCTTAAAAAAATAGCATGCTCTCTTGAGAAAAAAATCTTTTATGGAAAAATTCACATTTCTCAAAAGTGACTAAACTTTTTTGTTTTTAATAGTAAGTATTAGGAAGCTAAAGTTTTAGTTTCTAACCAAGAAGCCTTCCGTTTCCTTCACAGAATTGTCTAAAAGTAACTTACCATCATGGTCTGTGTTGGAAGGCTGACTATTGGATCTTTGGAGTCCAAATCTGAAACCTTCTGTGGATTCACTGTTTATGCTTGAATTTACTACTAGAACTCGTTGTTCTGTAAAGTGAATGGCATTTCATATTCACAGGATTGAAACATGACCCAGGGCCTTTATGTCCTCTGAGACAATTTTATGGGTGAACAGTTTTCGTGTAATTCAAAGACCAGAGAAGAAGCCATTGAGATATTAAGCTTCCAAACCTTGCAGTACAGAAAGCATAATTACCATATATATAAATCCTGTCTTCTATATGAGTAGGCTTCTAGAGGCTAATTCATATATGAACTGTTTTGATGAAGAGTTGTATTTTTAAGCATGTTTTCCTACTATTTTCAAGATTACTCTGTGACTGCCAATTCAAAGATTGTGGTGGTAACTGCCGGAGTTCGTCAGCAAGAGGGGGAGAGTCGTCTCAATCTGGTACAGAGGAATGTGAATGTCTTCAAATTTATTATTCCTCAGATCGTCAAGTACAGTCCTGACTGCATCATAATTGTGGTTTCCAACCCAGGTATTATAATATCCTATGGTTCAGTTCTTTGAAGTTCAATTTTTTTTGGTTTTATGTGTATGTGTGTTTTTCCATTAAAAAAAGAAAATCTGTTCTAGTATTTACTAACAGAAGCAGTTCATATGTCTTCTGGGATTAGCCACAAAGGAGTGGTGTTTGCAAAACAAAATGGCATTATCCCAGGCCAAATGTTCAGAAATGTGGAAAGAGTTTCATATAAAGCAATTTCATCTGCTTGTTTCATCTAGGTTTGTTGTAGTGTCTAAAAGCTTTTAAATTTTTCTATAATGATTGTACCAGGACACATAACAAAACTTTCACTTGAACGTATCTGACCTCCTGTTTTCTAGAAAATACATTTGCGTGTCTGCTACTCTAAAATCGAAAACACTACCCTAAAACTTTTCAAAGCTGAATAAAATTGAATTTAGAAACCAGAAAAACAAGCTATTCAACCAATTCTGTTTTAAAGATAGAAATCCACTGTGTTGATGACCCTTGATGATTGCATGGACATGTATTGATATACATGCTAAAACCAAATGCAACCTAAAAGTTGCATCACTTGCTAAATTAATATTTGCAGAATAAACATTCAAACAATTGGTTAGAAAAAAAAATCTTACTTTGTAAAGCTGAATCATTAAAATTCATTCTATTTTACATTTCCTTTGGCCACTATTCCATTTGCCATCAGATTATTGTTTATAGGTAACCATAATGAATACATAGATAAACAGTGGAACTGATTTCTCCTGTACTTCATTTAGAGAAACATTGCAAATAAGAACCAGGGGGAATCCCTACTAGTGTGTCGAATATTGAAAGTTAAGAGCTGGCAAGGACAGAGACTCTTTCAGTGTTATTCTTATCCTTCCTCTTCACACCGGGGTCAGAACTTACTAAATAGCAAAATCTTGCATATAAAACTGCTTCTAAATATATCTGTACCAGATAGATGGAGAACAGGAATGACAAATAGCTAGCACAGATCAAGTTACTCAAACCTGTGCCTAAGACAGCCATCGCTAACTGATTACTCAACTTTCTAAGTATAGTTTCAAAATCTAATACTCCAGGAATTACTCCCATTGTGTGAAGTTGGCAAGAAAGAGTTTGTAATAATCCAGTCCAAAATGCCTTTAAACTATATTAGGTGGTGTCCAAGTGTGAAAGTGAGGCGTGCAAGATTAATTTCTGTCTCCTTGCCTTCCTTGAAAGTTTGACCTCTTTGTCGTCTTGGGTTGTATGCCACTGGGGCAAAGATTCTGTCATAGTGGTCATTTTATTTAGTAGAAAATGTTAATAACCTGCATTATTACAGTAATTTGGTAAATATTATCAAATGCTAGCAAGATTGAAAGTAGTTTGCCTTGGTAAATTAGCTTTTGGCTTCCAGTGGCTGTCATTACAATCATACATTTGGGAGAAGCTTAACTGATGGTCTTATTCAAGCCTTCTGATCTCATTCTCTTACCATTCTTTCAATTTAAAATAAATCTAATTATCCTATATATTCGGTGCATTTAATAATGCAAATATAAGAAACATAATTTATATATTTCATGTTTTAAAATCAGACTTAACGTAAGGATAAGAGTTTATTCTTAACCTTCTAACCTCTATTATTTCTAAATATGATCAATTAAAGTATTTACATCTTTTTGGTCACATCTTTTGGGGGAATGGAAGAGGAGTTTTTTCAAGACAGTTTTAAATTTACATATATTCTTTCTAAAAATTTTAGTGGATATTCTTACATATGTTACCTGGAAACTAAGTGGATTACCCAAGCACCGTGTAATTGGAAGTGGTTGTAACCTGGATTCTGCTAGATTTCGCTACCTTATGGCTGAAAAACTTGGCATTCATCCCAGTAGCTGCCATGGATGGATTTTGGGAGAACATGGCGACTCAAGTGGTAAAAAAAAAAAAAAAAGACAATTTACTGTGTCCTTATGGTATTGTTCATGTGAATCTGATTTTTTTTTTATTGTTGTTTTAAATTTTATACACTTCCATAGGAGTCTTGGTATGGTGCTATAGGACAAGCACTGGACTCCAGGGTTCATTTGAATCACAATGAGTTTATTCAAACTCACCAGCCACTCCTTAGAAACCCTATACAGGGTGCTATGAGTCAGAAACAACTCTATGGAACAATAACAACATATGAGTTTGAAAAGTTATAAAAATAGTACAATTAATTCACATATTCTCTTACCATTTGCTTTTATTTATTTATTATTTCTTTCTTCCTCCCTTTCTGTATCTATCTCTCTAGGTGTCTCCAGGTGTCACTTGTGCCTAAATTTCAATAACCCTGCCCTTTTCTCCTTAAACCTTTTAGTGTGTATTTCTTAAGAACAAGGATTTCTTTTTCATCAAATGCCTGTTGTAATTGAATGGACTCCAGCTCCCGGCATCCCAATGTGTGTCAGAGTAGAACTGTGCTCCATAAAGTTTTCAGTGGTTGACTTTTTCAGGAGTAGATTGCCATGCCTACCTTCTAAGGTACCGCTGGGTAGACTTGAATCTTCAAGCTTTCAGTTAGCATCCAAGTGACTCACTAACCAAGGCCTTCACTTTTGCAAAATCACAGTACAGTTATAAATAATCAGAAAATATAACATTAGTACAATATTATCTAATCTAGAGTCCATATGCAAGTGTTGATAGAATGTTCCAGTCATGTCCTCTGTCTCCTTTTTGCCCAAGTTAGGATCACACATAACTTCTAGTCATTATGTCTCTTTCATGTTCGTTTTTCATGGTCTTGACACTTTTGAAAAGGCAAGAGAATTATTTTGTAGAATATTGTTAGTTTAGATTTGATTTCTCCTGTAGGTTGAGTGTATGTACTTTTGACACAAGATATTTTTGGTAGATAAGTGATTCTGGGTCCTTCTCAGAGCATCAATGAGTCCCATCATTAGTGATGTTCACTACAATCACTGAACTTTGTGTTTGCTAAGTTACAATAAGTGCTGGACTGTGAACCACAAAGTCTGTGATTTGAGCCCACCCATGGTTATGCAAGAGAAAGATGTGGCTCCCGTGAAGAATTAAAGCCTTGTAAGTCCTATACAGTGTCACTATGAGTCAGAACTGACTCCACAGCACTTAATAACAACAACAATGAATTGTTATGAAGTTATTATTTTACCATTGTAATTATTAATAAGTAAGGGTCACTATGCATTGGAACCGACTCCATGGTACTTAACAGTTTGTGAAGGGCTACTCTGAGACTGGATAAATATTTTATTCCTCATCCAACTTGTACCTATGAAATTTAATACCCACTGATGATTCTTGGTTGAGTTAATTATTACTATGATAGTTGCCAAACATGATGTTTGCCAAGCATGATAGTTCTATTTCTGTGACATTCATCATTCCTTACATGTCTATTAGTTGTATTCTACCATAAGAACTTTACCTTTTCTCTCATTTATTCATTTATCCATTCATTTATGTCAGTATTCATTCAGGTTTTATTCTATTCTATGAATATTCTGTTACTATCATCACAGTGTCTTGGTATGGCACTATGGATTAAGCACCAGACTGCAAAGCCTTTGAATTGCAAAGTCAGCAGTTCAAACTCACCAGCTGCTCCTCAGAAACCCTATACAGGATCGGTATGGGTCAGAACCAACTCAATAGCACTTAACTACAACAACATCATCACAGTGTGGCACTGTGGGCTAATGCATCAGACTGCAAGGTCAGTTAGAACCACAAAGTCAGTGGTTTAGGGTCGCTATGGGTCAGAACCTACTTGACGGCATTCAACAACATCATCATAACGCTAAAATTGTCTCTGATTTGGCCAGTGGCAGATTCCTCAAGCTGTTGCATTTTACTTGAGAATGGTAGTTAGAAACAAAGATCTGAGCAATAGATGAGCTCTTGCTGCTGGTATATCTTTGTGTCTGGGCGCTTTCAAATGAATTTTTCTAAAGTTTTTTCTGTGTTCTCCTTGCTTTCCTCAAACTTTCTGTCAATCCATTGAAGGTACCTAAATACTATTCTTTTGAATTCCTCTTGAATTAGTCCCATTACCTTTTCTTTCTCAGATATGCTTTCTGATTCTGCATCTTGGTCATTTGTTTGAGGCATTCTCTCCTGTTTCTTCATGTGAACTAAAATTGTCTTTTGTCTCTGGGACATTGTGGTGTTGTTGTATTTGTATTTAATTTATGATTGTATGTTGATGTGTTCTTAGGCTCTAACCAACTGTATCCTGTGGGCCTAGTTAGAATGAAAGCATATGCACACCATTCTACATCCAATATTCATACACCTCAGTTTAGGGTGGCTGTGGCTGGTGTTGGTTGTTGTTGATCAGGTGGTATAGTAACTGGTATTGGCTCTTGCCCAGTGGGTGGGGCTGCAGAGGGTATGGTTGAGGCTGGGTTTATATAGACATGTTGCTGTCTCCAACAGATGGGAAAGAGGAGAAAACACTCCCCCCAACACACACATACACACAAGAAAATGTAACAGAATATACAAGCAAGCAAAGAGAAAATAAAAAAGGATACAAAAGAAATACAAAACAGGCAGCAACCAGAAAAAAATATATACAATAATTTAAAAAAAAGAGGGACAGGAAAATGGAGTTCTAGAAGAGAAAAATAAGAGAGAAAATAAAAGGAAGAAATTGAAAAAAAAAAAAAGAAACACTTTGTAAAGCCATGAAGAGGAAGGATGACAAGAGTAGAGAGTAGTAAAGAAAGATCAAAAAGAAAAAGTATAAGAAAAGGGGAAATAAGAAATAGAAGAAAAGAAAAACAAAAGCAGAAATGGGAAGGATAAAATTCAAGGAACTGGAAGGAGAAGAAAGAATAAACAAACTAAAACAATGAAACAACAAAAGGGAAAAAAAAAATAGTGCAACTCTTGGACCTGAAAAGGAAAAAACTAGGGGTGCGCCTGCCAGCCAAGAAAGGATACGGCAGTGCAGTTTGTGGCCTTAATGGAGTTCCTCTAGGCCTAAGTGTTATACATGTTCAGGGTACTCAATCCAGAAGTAGTTCATGGAGGCCCTTGATGGAGCTATTTTCAACATCTTCTAGGACCACAGGGCAGCTGAGGGCAGGGTGGCTGGTTATGAGGATTTCTGCTAGACTAATGCTTGTCTAATGGCTCTGCAGGTTCTGTAGGTCTGGAGTAGAGACTGCCTGAATTCAAGCACCAAAGTGGCACAGAGACCTGTCTCACACCATAGTGGCCCACAACTACATGTCTCTGAATTTACCGAGAGCAGTGTCAACACTGGGGGTAGATGAAGGTGGGAGTTGGCCATACCTCTGGTCACCAGGGGAGTATGGGAGAAAAAAAGGAATTGCACCTTTCTCATTGCCTGTGTGAATCTGCTCTGCCAGGCCACTTCTGTCACCAAGTTATTGTTGTTAAATGCTGTTGAGTCCAAGATGGTTGTACCACATCTAGCTGGCCATTCACCTTCAGTCTTCCTGTCTTCCCCTCCCTGTTCAGCTTCTCTCAGCAAGCACTGAATCCACTCCTCTAACCCTCTAAGTTCAGGGTTCCAGAATTTTCATTTGTGTTTGTTTTGTTTGGTCTCTTCATACTTTTGTTGTAGAGGAGCTACGTAGTGCATCTCACTAGTTTGCCATCTTGTCGGGAGACTTTCCCATTCCCTTTAACTCATGCATTCCTCCCCATGTTTTCCCTTATCTTCATCATTCTTCTGCCAATCTCCTTGTTGTGTATAGATTGCCTTGCCTGTCACCTGAGTTAACATTTGTCTATTTTCTGTCTAGCCTTGGTGTGGCATTGTAGGATAAACACTGGACTTCAAGGTCAGTTTGAACCACAATGTTAGAAGTTCAAATTCATTCAACTCATTGTTGTGAGTTGGTAATGGTTCAATGGCATTAAAACCTTTGTTGTTGTTGTTGTTAGGTGCCATCGAGTCAGTACCAACTCATAACAACCCTGTGCACAACAGAATGAAACACTGCCCTATCCTGGGCCAACCTCACTATTGTTGCCACACTTGAGCCCACTGATGCTGCCACTTGGCCAATCCATCTTGCTGGGGGTCTTCCTCTTTTTCTCTGACCCTCCACCTTACCAAACATGATATCCTTCTCCAGCAACTGGTTCCTCCTGACAACTGTCCAAAGTATGAGAGACGAAGTATGGCCATCTTGACCTCCAAGGAGCACTCTGGCTGCACTTCTTCCAACACAGATCTGTTGGTTCTTTTGGCAGCCCATGGCACTTTCAATATTCTCCAACTTTAGTCAGTGATTATTACCCTTTCTTGGTCTTTTACAACATGATATCATACAAATTTGTCCTTTTGTGATTGATGAATTTCACTAGGCATAATGTCCTTAAAGTTCATCAATGTTATGAGGTGTTTTGCAGCTTCTTAGTTATTCTTCTAGGTAACATAGAGTTCCGTTGTGTGCATGTATCCAAGTTTGTTTATCCATTCTTCTATTTAAGGGCATTTAGACTGTCTGCTTCTTTTTGCTATTGTGTATAGTGTTGCAGTGAATTTGGATGTACATATATTTCTATGTATGTCACAGCTCTGATTTTTTGAGAATATATATACCAAGTAGAAGAATTACTGCATCAAATGGTATTTCTATTTCCAACTTTTTGAGTAAGTACCATATATTTTCCACAGTGGTTGTTCCATTTTACTGTCCCACCAGCAGTTGAGCAGCAGTCCAGTCTATATGAAGTTTCTTTTGAGATAGATTGAAATTGGGGCATTAGAGAATCTAGAAATAGACTATATTTGAACCTATACTAGAAAAAAATCTTTTTTTCTCATTCTAGAAGAAAAGGGCTTATATCCAGAAAAACAAACAGGAGACAGTAAGAAATTCGTCACACTAAAAGCTTAAGTTAGTCCGGAATTAGAATCCCTTATGAGTTTATAAATCTAGAGAGATATAAATAATTTCATATTCACTGAAAGTGTAATGTTGTTGCTGTTGTTAGTCCCGACCCACACCAACCCTTATGTAGGGCTACCATGGAGCAGCTGGTGAGCTTGAACCACTGACCTTGCAGTTGAAACCAACTTTGCAGTCCAGCACATTAACCCACAGCACCACACCAGGACTCTGAAAGTATGATAGAAGAGTTATGTTTTGTGTTGAATTAAAAGGTCAGCTATGTTACTATTTGATGACAAATGTCAGCTCTGCTGACATTGGAAGTTCTGCTAGAATCACTGCTTATTGGAGCAGTTCCAATTGGTATTCAGTAAGTCTCATTAGATATAAAATCTGAAGAAAGAATTACTTTAATCTGTGTCTGAAATATCTAAAATGTCTGTCTGTCTTTATAGTGGCGGTGTGGAGCGGAGTGAACGTGGCAGGGGTTTCTCTTCAGGAACTGAATCCAGAAATGGGAACTGACAATGACAGTGAAAATTGGAAGGAAGTGCATAAAATGGTGGTTGAAAGGTCAGTGGAAAATAACTCGATTTAAGATTAGCGTAGTGGTTACGAATCGGGCTGCGAACCGTAAGGTCAGCAGTTCGAAACTACCAGCGGTTCCGCGGGAGAAAGATGAGGCCTTCTGCTCCCGTAAAGATTAACAGCCTCGGAAACCCTGTGCAGGGTCGCTATGAGTCGGAACCTATTCTACGGCACTTAACAACAATAACAATGTTATCTTTACTTAGATAAAATTATAAGCACTTTTCTCTGGTTGCCTGCTCAGATATGAGTTAATTAAATGGAGCAGCTGGGGACTCTAGACCCAGAGAGGGAGAGGGGCTGTGTGCTGATGACTGGGGGGCAGGCTTGCAGGGTATACCCTTTGGTTGGTTAATGATGCATGGAGGTGATTGTAACCGTGGCACTGAAGCGATATATGATAGAATGAATGTAAAGCTAATGTTCTCCCATGTAAACTATCACACAATTCACAAAACATTTAAAAAAAAAAAAAAAAGGTTAATTTAAGAGTTATGTTGTAATAAGTTTACTGCTGTTATTTTTTACAACAGACAAGTCTAACTGTACTGGTCAAACTTGTGATAGTATTCCTAGGGAAATTAATTTTGATGGTAACAGGAATGAAACCTGAAATTACCAATTAGAATGGCTTCAAATTGCCTCTTATCATTAAATAAAGTTGACTTACTTCAAAAGGTAAACATAGACAGCTATTAGTCTCATAATTGCCTCAAATGAATACGTTCTGATTTATTGCTGAGTGTTTAACCTGTACTGTATTTTCCTTTCCACAGTCAACTAGAAATATCCTTTTATTTTTTCAGACAAGGTATCTTTTCTTAGCAACCATACTGTCTTTCTATAAACTTTATGCTTATCGAAAATCAACGTGTCATTTTAGACTATACCTGGGAAAGCCATTAAGCCTTTAAGATGAATCTTGGTTTCCTTTTCTTTTATTTTTCTATACTACAGTTAAAGTATAATGGAATGACACATATACGAATATAATTGTATAATACTTAATCATTTGGTAAGCACTCAATAAATGTGGTGGCACTGTGGGTTAATGCCCTGAGCTACAAGGTTGGCGGTTCAAACTCACCAATTGCTCCTCAGAAACCCTATACATGGTCATTATGAGTTGGAAGCAATTCAATGGCACTTGACAACAATAACAACAATTATTATTTACAAAATAATAATAATAGCTGATATGTCAAATGTAAGGCCATTTTATTTAGTTCCATTTTAGTGATTTGAATTTTCCAGAGATTTGACCTGTATATGGAGAAAAATAATCCTAAACATTTGACGTTGAAAGGGTTCTTGCAATTTCAACTAACATAGTCCTTTGATTTTACAAATAGAAAATTGTAGGCTTATCTGAATAATATAATTTGCCCAAGACCATCTAGTCAGTGATAGGTTGTATTAGATCCTAATTTCTTCTTACTTGTTCTAGACTTACCTTTGAAGTAAATAGCAACTCACTTTTAAGTACCAGTGCCTTTGTATTTTGAGGAATATAATTAATGCTGAGAAGATTACCAGACCAGTTATTTTCATGACTTTCCTTTTAAGTAAGTTAGTCATAGTAATTTAGGTTATGATGGTAACTTCAACCTCAGGATCAAGGTATATTTTGTACTTTGAATGTGAGGTGTTTTCTTATATTGTTTCCTGAAATTTTATGTTCATGAATCCATTTGATTGGTTGGAAAAATACACATTTTTACCACTCTGACTATAGATAAATATTTACTTAAAAATAAGCTATTTGAATATCTCAAAGCATTTATTCAATACCTACCACGTAATGCTTATGTTTTAAGCATTGCAAATTTATATTTATGTATATGTTGGTTTTATGCTGTGGAGTCGGTTCCAATTCATAGAGGCCATGAAGAGGTTTCTAAGGCTATAAGTCTTTATGGGAGCAGAAAGCCTCATCTTTCCTCCATGATGTGACTGGTAGATTTGAACTAGTGACCTTGCAGTTAGCTACCCAAGTTGTAATCAAATATGCTACCAGGACTCCTTGTGTATATATATAAATTCATTTTTAACACTCGGAACAAACTTATAACGTAGATAGCATTGTTATCTCCATTTTACACAAGAAGAAACTTGAGGCACAGAATGATGAGAGAACTTACTCAGGATTACAGTTATTATGAGAGCAGGTGTCAAACCCAGAGAGTCTGGTTTCAGTGATTAGTCTGATTTCAGTTCTCTCATAGATATTGTTCTTGTTTATAGTGCCTATGAAGTCATCAAGCTAAAAGGATACACCAACTGGGCTATTGGATTAAGTGTGGCTGATTTGATTGAATCCATGTTGAAAAATCTATGCAGGATTCATCCAGTGTCAACAATGGTGAAGGTAAGATAAATTGATAAAGAAAATAGAGTATGATTTCTAGCATTGTATTTCATAAATGAATTGCCTCAAAGAAGGACTAAAGGGAGAAGACGAAGGAAAGAAAACTTAGAAAATGAATTTTTGTGTGGACAAAATAACAATAATTGTGTTTTACATTTTAACCAGTGTTGTATAGCGTAAGTACACTGACAAACCAGACATTTACCCAAGGACACAGTTCAGAAGAGTTAGGAAAGAAGGAGGAATGGACTCAAGAAACACAGGGAAGTAGGAATAGTAATGTTACACTGAGAGGATTGTAATCAATGAGGTGAACAAAATGTGTATGAATTCTCGAATGGAAAATAGATGCTCTGCTATGCAAACCTTCATCCAATTCACAATAAAA